TGGTTTAGACCCGCTCCCCAAGGGGTGCAGGGAGCGGGCCAAAGCCATCAGTAGGACATCCCCTGAGGGCTCCCAGTATGTGAGAGGGGGCAGGCTGGGCTGAGGGACACCCCCCCGCCAGTGTACGAATTTCATGCACCGGGCCCCTAGTCTATAATAATAAAAGGGCAATATCCTAATTAGACTGGACATCTTCTGGACATGACCAAGCCGGGGCCCGAGGGAAGCCAGCCAGGGTCCCGGTGCCTGAGGGTAGCCCGAGGGAAGATAGCTGGGTCCCAGGTGCCGGGGGAAGGAAGGCCTACTCTTGCATGAATTTTCATGCATCCGGTCTCTAGTTATAGTATAAGCTCATCCTAGATTCATAAAAGGCATCTTTGAAAACACTCAGTAAATGAGTGGGGTGCACCAAATATGATGTATGTTCCTTCAAAAATCTAAATACCATATTTCAACTAATCTAAAGGTGCATCTTCATTTATATTCCACTGTGAAGAATTTTTAAAAACACTATCAATTAAACCATAATATTGTTACAGGAAAGGGAACCTGGCCCTGAGCAGGTCTGCCTAGGGCCAGCCTATAGTGTGTGGGTTCTTGACTTCATGTAGGAAAAGTTTCACAACAGTCCAGGTGAATTTTAGAGGACGTTTATGAAAGCTGGGGACAGTAAAACAAGGAAGGGCTGGGGAAATGAGCCTAGGCTAGTCTGCTCTGGCTCACTAAGAAGTCAGAGAAAGGGGGGCCTTGGAGACAGGTTCAGGGGGTTTATCTGGGATGAACTGCTACTGCCCATTGCTACCCTGGTTGTAAGCCCTATGGGGTCCCTTAGAGTTTAGGAGATGCATGCCTGTGGGGGAAGAAGAGGAGGGGAAGGTACTGGTGTGCTCCTTCAGGGTCATGGTCCTCACTGATTGGTCAGCGTCAGGGCAGGGGATCATTAGTCATCTCAGCTGGTCCTGGTGTCACCACCTGGTTTTGCTGCTTTCTGGGTCGGGAGCTGAAATACGACTGAGGCCTAGATGTTGTTTTTAGGGAGGTGACCTTCTGCATCTGCTGTAAATTGCTCTGTCAGTTTGTTCAGCTATCTGTCTCAATTTCCCTATTATACTTGTCCTGGCTTACTGGCTTGCTTCAATATATTATTGATTATATGATGAATCCCCATTTCAGAGATGTTAAAATGTTGGGGGTGGGGGGCACTGTGAATGTACTGTCACTGAATTCTTCACTTTAAAATGGTTAATTTTATGAAGGGTCCTGGGTTCAATTTGAGTCAAGGGCACATGCCCTGGTTGCGGGCTTGATCCCCAATAGGGGGTGTACAGGAGGCAGCCGATCAATGATGCTCTCTCATCATTGATGTTTCTATCTCTCTCCCTCTTCCTTCCTCTCTGAAATCAATAAAAACATATTAAAAAATAAAAATAGAGATTCTATATTGAAAAAGGAAGTCAGACAGATCTGGGTTTGAGTTTTGGAAACTTCTTTTAACACTGTGCCTCAGTTTGTTCAATTGTAATGAAAATATTAATACCTAGCTCCGGGGGCTGCTGTGAGGAGCAAGTGACTTAACACATATTAAGCCCTTCACATAGTGACTGGCACACAATGAGGGCACCAATACATAGCAACCGAGAGGCTCATTGTTGCTATCTTGCCTGGCACAGCCCTGCAAGCTCATCTCCTGCTGGGGAGAAGCTGGGTATGGACACTACAGCTTGATCCTGCTTTGGAAGTCAGACTGTTGTGACAAACAAGCCCCCTCCTTTACTAACAAAAGTAGTCAGAGTTCTCATTTGGACTTTGTTTCCCATTGGTTGAAAGTGGGGTTGCCCTGGTAGCACATGTAAACATTCCTTCTTGGAATCCTGGAGAAAAGCCGCTGAGAGACTTTCTGAGGCGTCCCTGACTACTACTTCTCCATACAAGACTCTGTTCACTCAGGTATTGGGGGTTGTTAAGTGTGGGAGGGCTCCACAAAAAAGACTTGCAGTGGTTCTCCCAATTCATCACCCAGACCCCAAACTTGATCACATCCCTGACCCTTCACACCCATTTTGCCCACCTCTTAGGGAGAAAGTGGGAGAAAAAGAACTAGGAAAGGCCAGTCACAGGGACGCTTAAGAATTGTTTGTGCCCACATATATATGAGGATAAGAAGTGAACTGCTTCCCGAGCCCTGCTCCCCCTTTTCCTTTTCCTGTTGTAGCACAGGGCTCCCAGGGGAAGTTCTTAAGGAGGTGCTTCTATGAATAAAGCCCCCACCTCATTTGCTTTGTGTTGGGAGTCACACATTTAGCTTCCAGTCAATTCATCAAGAGACAATTTGCTGAAGCTAGGTCACTGAATGACCAAGTCACCAAATGGGCTATTTTCTGAAGAACTGAGTTACTATATGGACTCACCAAAGCCTACTGAATTTACCAGTTTATCAAAAACATTCTATTGTCTTTAATTACGGAGTTTACAGCAAATTGCTTTGGTCAAATTGGGCTGGGGAGAGCCATTTCTCCAAGGTTAAGGGCCTTTAGACTCCCTCACTCTTCACCCTTCATTTGGGTCTTCATAGGAGCATTTTAAGCTCAGTTTGCCTCTGCCTCGGTTCCCTATTGCTACAGCTGGCGGGTGAACAGGTCCCCACAACTCTCTGTGAATCTTGGAGGGAGGAGAGCAGTGTAGTTATGAGCAGGGGCTGTGGAGTTGGACAGCCTGGGTGTGAGCGTGGCTTCCTTGTTTCACATGGTAAGAAAAATAGGCATACTTAAAGTAGGATAGGTAGGGAAGGGTTAAGGGAATCATTGGGGTTGACAGTGGGGAAACAAGGCCAAGCACAGCCACCCAGGGCTAGAAATGGTGGGGCTATAGGGCTGAGGGGAATGGCTATCCTTACCAGACTGGGAAGTTGTGAGAGAGCTGCCCTGGAGAAGCTGCCTTCTCCATATACCAGCTACTGGTGACCCTGTAGGGAGACAGCTCCCTGGGGAATATATACCTCAACCTTACTCTCCTCTGTTCAGCCTGATCTCCCCATTGTGTGGAACCTCCTGGAAGATAGAGGTAATGGGAGAGCCTATTGATGTAGTCCAGCCAGGTCGGCCTTCCAGGGGAGAGAGGGAGAGTGGATCTGGAAGGGCCAGTGAAAGGTACACGATCTCACAGGGCTGTGGTGAGAGTTGAGACCCATTAAACATTCCAAATTGGGAGTTGCTATTTATAGAAAAATAAATAGCTCCTTTTGGAGAGAGATACCCATTTTCCTGCAGCACTCCCAATGCAAGGACTGCCTGCAAGGGATTTATAACTGTGGAAAATATTAGCTATCATTTATGACGAACATTTTACTAAAACAGGAGCAGACAAATATTTTTTTAACAAGAAAAAATTTAATTACATGTATATATATGGGAACCCTTCACACGAGAGTCAGAAATCCAAAATACATGAGAGGTTCTGACAAATATTTTCTGTTAAAAAATATATGTTTATTGATTTAAGAGAGGAAGGGAGAGGGAAAGAAAGAAACATTAATGATGAAAGAGAATCATTGATTAGCTGTTTCCTGCACACCTCCCATTTGGGATTGAGCCTGCAACCAGGGCATATGTCCTGACCAGGTATTGAACTGTGACCTTCTGGTTCACAGGTCAATGCCCAAACACTGAGCCACGCTGGCTGGGCAACAAATATTTTCTTATTTTTAATTTAAAAATATATCTTTATTGATTTCAGAGAGAAGGGAGAGGGAAAGAGAGATAGAAACATCAATAATGAGAGGGAATCATTGATCAGCTGCCTCCTGCACGTCCCCTAATGGAGATCAAGCCCGCAACCCAGGCATGTGCCCTTGACCGGAATCGAACCTGGGACCTTTCAGTCCGCAGGTTGACGCTCTATCCACTGAGGCAAACCAGCCAGGGCAACAAATATTTTCTTGATGTGATAAATCTCACACTTACTGGTGTAAGGTCAGAAGCATGCCTGTTAAAGTCAGACACAAAGGAAGGATTTTTAAAAATATTTATTTTTTATTGTTTTCAGAGAGGAAGGGAGAGGGAAAGACAGAAATATCAATGATGAGAGAGAATCACTGATTGGCTGCCTTCTCCACGCCCCCTCCCCACCCTCACGGGGGATCAAGCCCACAACCCAGACTTGTGCCCTGACCCGGAATCGACCCATGACCTCTTGGTTCATAGGTTGATGCTCAACAACTGAGCCACGCCAGTTGGGCTGGAAGGATTTTTTAAAAAAATTCTTTATTTAAAGTATTACATGAGTCTCCTTTTTCCCCCCTTTGACCTCTCCCCTGTCACCCCGTCCCCCAAGCACAAGCCCTCAGCCCCCTACTATCTCTGTCCATTGGTTTTGCTCATATGCATGCATACAAGTCCTTTGGTTGATCTCTTACCCCCTCACCCCCCACCTTCCCTGATAGGTTGTACAGTCTGTTTGATGCTTCTATGGAAGGATTTTTTTTATCTCCACTTTCATTTCACATTTTTCTGGAAGTATTTACCAAAGGTAATACTTATATATTTCAGGAAAAAATGAGTTTCTGGCAGATGACATTGTATACCTTGAAAATCCAAGAGAAAAACCTGAAAACCCAACCCCTCCTATACTGTATTCCCCTAATCATTTACATTCACTTTATCTTTAAGTAGTCGTGGGCTCTCAGTTACCTAAAGCAGGGTTTGTGGTTCTATTAAAGACTCAACTAGAAATCAGTATTGTTAGAACTCCAAAGAAGTTAAGAATCATTCTACTACATCTTAAGTCTTCATAGTTATGTGAATCTGAAAATCCTTGGTTTTTAGAAAAAGTAGACCTCCGTGGCCAGGCACAAAGAATAAACTAAGGCCTTACTCCTTCCTCACCCCCTAATCCCTTCCCTAGAGGAAATAGCCGTTTCCTGTCTCTTGTGATTCTTCGAGATAGTCTGTACTTATACGAGAGTGTACGCATGGGCGCAAAAAGGTAACTTCTTGAGTTTCTTTTTCTAGACAAAAGAAAATGAAGAAGGCTAGAAGTATCAGATTTAATAATATGGTAGATGTGTATAAAGAATTTCCAATGCCATTGGTTGATAAAGAAGACAGTGATGTGATTGAACCAGTAACGGATACAGAAGACAACAATGTGACTGAACCAGCAATGGATGAAGAAGAGGAAGACAGCAATGTGACTGAACCAGAAATGGATGAAGAAGAGGAAGACAGCAATGTGAGTGAACCAGAAATGGATGAAGAAGAGAGCGTTGTGAGTGAATCAGCAATGGATGAAGAAGAGAGCGATGTGACTGAACCAGAAACAGAAATAGAGAGCAATGTGACTGAACCAGCAATGGAGACAGAGAGCAATGTAACTGAACCAGCAATTTATACAGACATCAATGTGACTGAATCAACAATTTACACAGACTTTAGTGTGACTGAATCAGCAATTTATACAGACTTCAATGTGACTGAATCAGCAATTTATACAGACTTCAATGTGACTGAATCAGCAATTTATACAGACAGCAGTATGACTGAATCAGCAATATATACAGCAGATAGCTATGTGAGTGAACCAGCAATGGATACATATAGCTATGTGACTAAACCAGCAGCAACAGTTAGAGAGAGAAATGAATCAACAATAGTAGTTATAGACAGCAGAGCGACTGACCCAGTAAAAAAAACAGAAGATGACAATCTGAATGACATGGCGCTAGATATAACTGAGACTGTCATCGCTGAAGCTATTAATACTGTGGAAGGTAGTGATCTCGTTTGGGTGCCTAAAGGACTGTCTTGTTATATAATGTTACACTACCAGACAACTAACAAATTCACATCTTTTTTTTTTTTTTGCAGAAGATGATGAATACACCATCAAAAACATCAAGTGGCTCACACATGGTGAATTCACACCAGAAAAGTGCCGTAAACAAATCCAAGACTTCGTTATGGTAAGTTAGTTGACCACTCCAGCTTGGTGTACAAGGGTGAAGAACAACCCTGACCGGTTTGGCTCAGTGGAGCCGGCCTGCGGACTCAAGGGTCCAGGTTCGATTCCGGTCAAGGGCATGTACCTTGGTTGCGGGCACATCCCCAGTAGGGGGTGTGCAAGAGGCAGCTGATTGATGTTTCTGACTCTCTATCCTTCTCCCTTCCTCTCTGTAAAAAATCAATAAAATATATTTTTTTAAAAAAAGGTGAAGAACAATAAAAAGGCTCTTCCTTTTTAAAAAAATATTTTTATTGATTTTTTTTTTTAGAGAGAGAGAGAGAGTGAGATAGAAGCATTGATGAGAGAGAAACATCTATTGATAGGCTGCCTCCTGCATGCCTCCCGCTGGGGGACAAGCCAGCAACCTGGGCATGTGTTCTGATCGGGAATCAAAACTGAAAAAAGGCTCTTCTTTGATGAAAAGTTCAAAGTCCAGAATCCCTAGGACATGATATAAAAGGTAACTAAATGTCCTCATCTGGATCCCAAAATCAACATGCGATAGTCTTTGAAGGTGAACCCTAATCTTAAATTTTCCTAGTAAAATCTGATATTCCCAATTAAGCAATTTTCCCATCTGGTACTCTAAATGGGGGCCTACTGGCCTAAGGAGGGAGTTGCTTCTCTCAAACAAGAGTTCTGCAACACCAACTTTATATTTATTTATTTATTTATTTGTTAATCCTCAACTGAGGATATTTTTTCCGTTGGTTTTTAGAGAGAGTGGAAGGGGGAGGGGGGGGAGAGAGAGAGAGAGAGAGAGAGAGAGAGAGAGAGAGAGAGAGAGAGAAACATTAATGTGAGAGAGACACATCAATTGGTTGCCTCTCTCACATGCCCCGATTCTGCCTGGGGGTTGGGAGAGGGTTAAACCTGCAACCCAGGTATGTGCCCTTGACCACACTTGATTGGGAATTCAAACCTGCAACCCTTTGGTACATGGGCCAACACTCTAACCATTGAGAAACACTGGCCAGGGCTCCAACACCACCTTTAGAATGCTTATATTAATAGAGGGGATGTACATGGATCAAAAGTCTTTTTACTGTACCTTTGGAACATATTGCCTGCACACTCAGATGCACAGGCCCGTGGATTCCTTTTTCTTTTTCTCTTGTGCCTGGCTCTGACCCATTCATGTGGCTTAACCTGGCAGCTCTAGTGAAAAGGCCCTGGGTTGCTTTGCATAACGGGCGGGTGGATAAAGAAGAATGACCTGAAATCCTTACTCACTGTAATTCCTCGGGAAAGAGACCAATTGAAATTGGTTGAGGCAAAACTCCCAGTCCTGGGAGAAGTTTCTTGCTGTCTCTCTCTTCCTTTCTTCCTAAGCCCTAGACAGCCCTGGTCAGGTGAGAATGAAAAAAAGGTCAGGGATTTCTGGCTCCACACCTTTTGTTTATATGCTAGTTGGCACAAATCAGTATTCCCATTAGAAGGGGTATCTAGAGCATAGTGAAGATGAATGATGCAAAATGCTAGTTACCCTTGGGCCTTCTTGCTCTGAAGCATATCTCTATTTGGGGTTGGTCAAAGGTCTCTGCCTGCTATACCTAAGGTTTGTGAATCAGACTGGAATGGGAAACAAAACAAGCAAGAAAAATTTCCCCTACAAATCTCACTGGTTATTCTGAATAAAAGGCAAGAGTAAGTCCTGACAATGGCCTACAGGGCCTAACATGATCTGACTTCTTTCCTCCCTCCCAACTTATTGCTTAGACTCCATCACCTACTACCTTCTCCCTTTTTACCTTCCTTACTCCAGCCACACTTGCTTCCATGCTGTTCAACTGCCAGGCATGTCCCCACCTCAGAGCCTCTGCACTTGCTGTTCTTCTGTCTGGAATAGTCTCCCCTGAGAGCTATTCTCAGGTATTATGCCTTACCTCTCTTCAGATCTTTGTTAAGATTCCATTTGCTCATTGAGGCCTTTCCTAGACACCTCATCTAAAATTATACCTACTCTCCTTCTCTGATTTATTTTTTCTTTAGTACTTAGCTCTATTTAAGATATTAGATTTTACTTATTTACCCTTTGCTTTTCTTCCACCACCAGATCATATGGTCCATGAGGGCAGCGACTTCTGTTAATGTTCCCAGCCCCTAGAAATGTCAGGCACATATAGTTGCTCTAGAAATAAGTGTTAATTACACGAACAAGTTTATTCTTTCTTTCTTTTAAATATATTTTATTGATTTTTTACAGAGAGGAAGGGAGAGAGATAGTTAGAAACATCGATGAGAGAGAAACGTCGATCAGCCGCCTCCTGCACATCTCCTACTGGGGATGTGCCCGCAACCCAAGTACATGCCCTTGACCAGAATCGAACCTGGGACCTTTCAGTCCGCAGGCCGATGCTCTATCCATTGAGCCAAACTGGTTTCCGCAAGTTTATTCTTTCTATACCATCATTTTTTCACAGATGAAGAGCTTATCTACTTTGTAGGGCTGTTGTGCAGATAGAGACAATTAGAAAGTAGAAAGTGACTGAAAAGCTAAAAGCTCTATATAACTCATGACATCAACTCACCCTGCTCCCAGCCCCACTAATGCAGCAAGCCCTAGAAGTGAAGTCTATTATCTAAGTGCCAGGCACTTGTGATGGAGAGCTTTCTCAAGCTTAGTTCAGATTTCTCAGAGTCCACCATACACCAGGGGATGGCAAATAAGGAATTACCATTTCCTGAGCATTGCTATGTGCCAAGTTCTGCTAAGCACTTCATGTGCATTATCTCATTTAATCCTCACAACAAACCTGAATGCAAGTACATCAATGTACCCATCTACACTAATAAAAGAGAAAAATGGTAATTGGCGTACGGCGCTACCCTTTTCATTGGCCAATCAGGGCTATATGCAAATTAACTGCCAACTCAGATTGGCAGTTAACTGCCAACAAGATGGCGGCTAATTTGCATATGTAGGCACAATGCAGGGAGGCGAAAGGGAAAGCAGGAAGAAGCCCCCTGCCACTCACAGTGATCGGAAACCCAGGGGGGAGCTAAGAGCTGGGGGGCAGGGCAAAGGCGGCCCCAGGGCCGCCTTTGCCCTGCCCCCCAGCCATGATCGGAGAATCAGGCGCCTTTGCCGCCCTGGCCAGTGATAGCAGGAAGTAGGGGTGGAGCCAGCGATGGGAGCTGGGCATGGTGGAAGCTGGCAGTCCCAGGAGCTAGGGGTCCCTTGCCTGGGCCTAAAGCGGAGCCCACGATCGCGGCACCCCCCGCTGCCACTGCAGGTCCCCACTGCCCGGGCCGGTCGCCTAGGCCAGAGGTGTTAGGCCTGGGCAGGGGCGGAGCCTGCAACTGCGGGGAGCTGGGGGTCCCCTGCCCAGGCCTGACACCTCTTCCGGAGGCCTCAGGCCTGGTCAAGGGGCCGATCCGGTGATTGGTGATCGGAGGGTGATGAGGGTCAACTCCTCTGGCTGAGGCATCAGGCCTGGGCGGGGGGCGGAGCCGGGGATTGGGGGGATATGATGGTCCCCTTGCCCAGGCCTGAAGCCTGGGTCAGAGGCGTCAGGCTTGGGCGGGGGGTGGAGCAAGCGATCAGAGGGAGATGGGGGTCCCCTGCCCAGGCCTGATTCCTGGGCCAGAGGCCTCAGGCCTGGGCGGGGGCCAGAGCCAGTGATCGGGGGGAGATGGGGGTCCCCTGTCCAAGCCTGACGCCTCTGGGCAAGGGGCCGATCCTGCAATTGGAGGGTGATGGGGGTCAACGCCTCTGGCCGAGGCATCAGGCCTGGGCAAGGGGCAGAGCCAGCAATCGGAAGGGTCTGGGGGTCCCCTGCCCAGGCCTGATGCCTGGGCCAGAGGCATCAGGCCTGGGCTGGGGGCAGAACCAGTGATGGGGGGAAATGAGGGTCCCCTGCCCAGGCCTGACGCCTCTGGGCAAGGGGCCGATCCTGCGATTGGAGGGTGATGGGGGTCAACGCCTGAGGGCTCCCAGTATGTGAGAGGGGGCAGGCTGGGCTGAGGGACACTCCCCCCCACACACACACACACCCAGTGCACGAATTTCGTGCACCGGGCTCCTAGTCTATATATATATAATACCCTCACAGTAACAACCAGCTGGAGCAGGTGGGCGTGGCTGCGTGCCCCGCGAGGCCGGGGGACGTGAGGCTGCGTGCAATAAAATAAAATGCGTTCACATGCCCTAAAGCACACACTTCCCAGCAGATAACTCAGTGCAGGTTATTGTGTAATCACAGTGATTACACAATATTGATTACACACACTTATTGTCACGGAAAAAAACAACGCCTTCACCTGGAGATGCCCCGTCAGGCTGCGGAGGCTTCATCTGGCCCTTGGGACCCCAGGACAACAGGGTCAGGAAGGAAGGGCTCCAGTTTCGTTTTCTCAGCTCCCAGCTAGAGGCCTCCCTGGGCGGCTCGGGCGGCTCTCCCCTCCGAGCCCCGCGCAGGACCGGCGCTCTCCCGCCCAGGAGCCCCGAGGGGAGGCGGAGCGAAGTGCTTCCCTCCAGACCCTGCTCCCCCTGGGAGTCCGGCCCGGGCGGGGGGACGCTCCCCCTGGGAGTCCGGAGGTGGGGGGCGGGGGGGGGGGAGGGGGAAAGGGGGGGCGCTCTCCCTGGGAGCCCGGAATCCGCCTCCCGGGCGACTGCGCAGCAGCAGGGCCCGGCGAGCCCCGGGAGGGCGACCTGCCCCTGCGGGAGGCGCTGGCGGAGGCCACGCCGCTGCCACGGTGGGAGTCGTCCTCCATGGAGGGCGGGGTAGCGGGGATCGGAGTCGGCCATGTCGGCACCGGAACCCCAGCTCCCGCCAAAGGACTAGAGCACACGGACCTCAACGGTCCGGGTCACCATCAAACCCGGAACCTAAGTAGGCGCCCTGGCGGAATGGAACCCAAACCTCGGCTGCGGCAGAGGAGCTCCGGCCGCAGCAGGAGTCATGGCAGCCAGAGGGGCCCTGACATAGGCGCCCTGGCGGAATGGAACCCAAACCT